TCCCGAGATGCCCTTCTCCGTGGGGCAGGTCACAGTGCTGAGAAGAGAAGCCCTTGATGAATGACAGTGGACTATCCCAACCATCTGCCAAGGGGATGGATTAGCTTCCAGCTCAAGACACAGACACTGACTTGGTCACCAAAAGATTATTTCCAAAATTAAGGCCACAGGTATAAAAGTTCTCCTTCCGTGGCCTCTGCCCACTCCCACCAGACAATAAGATGCCTATTTAGCCCATAAACATCTTCTGTACAATTCTCCCTAAATCCCCCCAGATCTTTGAGGCCGGCTGGGCCTCCCATTCACAGCTCAACGCGCTCTGTTTGGGGCGGCTTCTTGGCTGTGTCCTTGGTGAGGAGCGCGGTCCAGAAGGCCACTTCCTTGTCTTTCAGCTTCTGGGCTGCCTGGGTGGTGACGCCCAGCTGCAGGTATCCTTCCTCCTGGTCGTACACAGGCCAGTGGGGCAATCCCTCCCCATTGGGGTTCCTGGGAACAGAAAATAATTAAATAGAAATGCCCCAAAGCTACTGTGTGCTCAAAACAACTCTCAGCAATTTGCAGGAATCCCCCAGCTTCCCCAAAGGACCTGCACGCCTCCGGAGCCCGGGCCTCACCATCTCCCGGGCAGTCTGTCCTCAGAGAGCTCTCGTGCCGGAGGTCTCAGCCAGGAGTCTGACCCCCCATGTTAGAAGCTACTCCTCCCAACAAACATGCCCTGGCCCCCCAGCCCTGCCCTGCTCTGCTCACCCAGTCCTAGCGAAGTTGCCCCAGAATCTCATCAGCATCTTGCTGAGTTTAATCTCCTCTTCGGAGGCACCGTCTGGAGGGAAGAAGAGGAAAAGCCTTTGCTGCTCCAAGTGCGTTCATGGGCCGGCAGCAGCCAAATCACCTGCGTGCTTGTTAGAAATCCAGAATCTGAGCCCTTACTCCAAACCTACTGGGTCAAAGGCTGCATTTTACGAAGACCCTGGGTCATTTGTGTGCACTTGGAACTGGAGAGTTACTGATGGGGGACTCGGCGAAGGACTCTGGTCAGCACACAAGCTAAGGCCTTTGTGTTCTGTGCCCGCCTGCCCCCTTCAGAATCTCAATGCCACACCCAGGGTTTCTGCTACAGCCACCCCACCTCCCAGGATTGTCGTTTTTTGGGTGTGTTCTTAATCTCTGTCATCCATCCACATTTTCACAGAATCTGAAAAATCACAGAGCCCAAGGAGCCTAAGGCGTCATCCAGTCAGGATATGGCGCTGGTGTGTCCAACAGCCCTGAGGCGGGTCGCACACAAGTCGTCTATAACTGCTGATAGTTACGGTATTGAAGACATTTGTGGAAGGTTGTCTAAAATATCATATTCCTAAATACATTACATTTTTAAAAATAAGAGTCTTAGATAAATGATAGATGATAGGTAGATAGGTGGTTGGGTAGATAGAGGGGCGGGCGTACATTAGCCCTGGTTCAAGGTTAACACCAGTTCTAGCCTTACTCTTACTTCTGATAGGCTCTGTGAGTGGGATGTGACTGGTGATATTTTAGCCCTGGAGCATGGCCCTGTATCGCTGATGCCCCGGTCTGGATCTTCAGAGTGACCAGGAATGAGAGGACACGCATGCACACTCTCCACCGTGCATGTCAGAGCAAGAACCTTTGTCGTTCAACCTGTCATGCTGAATTCGGAAAACTAAGACCCGGAGGGAAGGAGGAACCTGCCCAAGGCCACCGAACTGAGCCTTGACCACAGATCTCCTATCTCCAAGCTTGTAGGGCCATCACCTTTTAGAAGCGGAGCCCCGAAGACCGAGAAGATCTCATCCCCGTGGTCCCCTTTCACCGTCTTGGGCCTCACGTCCGAGAAGAAGCTTGGTCGGTACCCAAACTCATACATGTAGGTGGGGTTTCCGGCATCTGAGAAAACACAATTAACACAGGATGCACAGCTAGGTGGCGCCAAGGCCTCTGGGGTCCTGAGCACAAAACAACAATTATATCAGTAGCAGCTGCCCATGTGAGCGCCAGCTGTGTGCTAGACAGTGTCCTGCACATGGGTTGTCAGCATAAGAGAGAAACAGAGACTCTGAGAAGTTCCCGGAGTTGATTAAGGGTGCAGGTGGAACAAATCTGAGCCAGGAAGTTGTTGAATGAATGAATGAATGAATGAATGAATGAATGAATGAATGAATGAATGGTTGAGACCTTGGGTAAATCCACTCAAAATAGCTATTATTATAGGGGCATTGGGTCAATTCACCTAAACCCCTCTGCCTATTGATGAATTCACGCAGGAACACCCGAGTACATACAGTTTACTATATTTCACTGATAACAGACTACTTTTCATCCGTTTGAAGGGTACCTGCAGCCCAATAGGTACCCCTTGGGGACAGTAAAAATTTGGAAAATGTTGAAAAAAGGAAAATGAACAAAATCACTTATAATCCCACCATCCAGAGAAAACACTGTTAATATTTTAGCACATATCCCTTCTATTTAAATAAAATTGGGATAATGTTGGGTATGTTATCTGGTAATGACTGTAATCACTTTTTACATCATTAAATATTCATCCACAAAATAGTTTACCGACATTTGCCATCCCAGCCGGAAGGTGTAATTTACTTATTGCCTCCCCACCTCTTGGTTTGGCAAGAGGTGCTGTCTGGGAAATGAACCCTTCTGTGGCCCATGATCCCCTTGTTAAACATTGACATTGAGGAGATGCCAACCACATAGTGTTCTAGGAACAAAAACAATATGAAATTAACTAAGTTATATGTAAGACATGGAAAGCTTATTAGAAGAAAATACATTGAAAATGTATAGCGGGTTCTTCCAAGGCAAAGAACTGTGGGTGATATCGAGTCTCTTCTTCATGTGTTCCCAGGTTTTCAAAACGTTCTACAACTGTGTTATTAATTTTATATTCAGAAATGTTTTTTGAATCAAAAAGAGTGTGAGACAAATACAAAAGTGAAAGAATCACATTCAGAAAATCTGTGTAGTCCTGGCAAACAAAACAAAACAAAAAAAACCCCTCCTGAACTCAAAGTCAAGAGATATCAGCCAAAAAAATCAAGTCCAGGTTGGGATCAGCAAAAATTACAGAAAGGGGTACTGCCAATTAGACACGAAGCAAGAGGCAAGACCAGGTTTATGAAAGAACAGACTTGACCTCTTTCATCAGGACCCTTGGGAGGGGGAAGCAGTGACTAGAATGAACATCACTGTGCTGGACACCTGGAAACACAGGAGGTCAGCTATAGCTACTTTTTATCATGTTTATGACACTGAGAACTTTAAAACCCTCCCAGCACCATAGACAGAGAGGTGTGGACCAGAGAACCATTTCCCGGCTTACTGACTAGGTGAAGGAGGGGTCCTAGGAAAGGAAGGGCCCAGAAGGAGCACCTCCTCTCTCGGAGAGCTCACCCCTCCCTGACCTCACACCCGCCCACACAGCCTTGGGTCAATGCCGGAAGGCCCAAGGCCCCGTGGTAGACCCCACACACATAGGGATGGACAAAAGCTGGCCACAGGCATGGACCTGCCCCCACACCTGCCACTGCTCCCCCACTTTGGTTTTCTTGGTCCTGGACAGCCCTCCTGACCCTACGCTTGCTTTTGCTCTTCCCCCAGCTCCACTGGCTCTGACCTTGGAAACCTTCCAGAACCCATCTTCCAAGATTGGCCATCTAGCCCACAGACCCCATAACCTCAGCTGAGGAGCCCCTGGGGCACATGCTGTTGGTGCCTCACCGATTCCTACTTCTGGGCATGCCAGCCTGACTTCACCTCCAGCATCGGTAGCTCTTTGCCTGAGGTCTTCAGCCAGCAAAGACCACTCTGCCCATAGTACAGTAGGTCGGCGCTCCAGGGAATTCACACCCCCTTGTGAACAGTCTTTAACCAACGTAGAAGGATAAATACCCCGGCTCCTTCATCACTTAGGGTAACCCTGAGACATGGCTCCTGTTGGATGCCCAGGGCACCCCAGCTCCAGGTGTTCATGGCGGGTATTTGCTTGGCCATGCAGCACGACTGGCTCCCTCTCCTTCCCATGTCACCTCTCCACTCCTCTAACAGTGTCTTCTGGGATCATCTCCAAATAAACTAGTTGCATTTGGACCCTTTTCTCAGATTCTTCTTCTGGCAGAAACCAAAATAGGACAGTGCCCCACCTCAGGCCACATGGAACCAGCCTAGGAGGCCTGACCTTCTGCAGTTTGCACATATATGTCTATGCTGAGGGGTGGGCAGGACACAGACCGAAGTCGGTGGGGTTGATGTCCCCTCCTGTCCAGTCTCTGGGACTTACCTCTGTGGCCACGGGCTATAATCACAGCTGGGACACCAAATAACACATCTCCCATCATATCCAAGAACCGGTCTTTCTTTTTGACAGGGTCGTCTGTCCCTCCTAAATACTTCTCAGCGGCCGCTGGAGTCAGTTCTTCAGGGATGTTCTGAAATGGATCAAGAGTGTAAGTGACTGCCACCCTCGGTGAGTGACACCGCTTCTCCAGCCAGCGAGGAAGGCTTTATGGTGACACTCTCAAGTCCTGTGCAAACCCTCCCCTCCCCCAGTGGCAAGGTGGAAAAGGCAAAAAATGGGGAGAAAACCCTCTGGCTCCAGTCTTCATTCTGGAATTTAATCCTCAGCGACTTAATCCTCAGTGATCTGAGGCAATGCCCTGTCCCTCCCTGGGTCTCAGCCCCTTACAGTGGCGGCGTAGGACTTCCACAAGAGTGAAGCGGCCGTCTTCTCGTCCAGCTTGCCTTCAGAGATTGGGTAACCCATCATCTGTTAAAACAATGGTTTAGCTTTTGTGAATCATTGGGAATTAACAGGAAGAACCAAACTGATCAGCCAACCTGTCGGGCCTTGACCAGCAAGGTCTTGGATGAGTTGGGCAAAATCAATAAATGAAATGGACTTATATCCAGGAACTCAAGGAGTGCAAAGAAGGCAAAGCAGAGGTTAAGAGGAGCTGCCCCAGCCCTTTGCAAGCTGGTGCTGAAGGATGGGGCTCTGGGGTGGACGACAAATACCCCCGCACCTCTCGGATGACCAAGGAAGCCCTGAATCCTGTCATCGTGGCTTTGGACCTTCCCTATAACCTTTGACGTGTCTCAAGTGAGAACTGCAGAACAGCTCTACGCATAACCATCCCATGGACACCTCCGCACTAAGAGCCTGACCAAACTCTCCTGCGGCTCCTAGCAGCTTAGGATGACTGACCCCAGCCCCCGAGACAGCTCCTGCTGCAGGAGAATTGACTGTTCCAGCCAAAGCCTGGTGCTAGGCAGATAGGCCCTAGAAGCCCCTCTCAGAGCCCTTTGCAGTTATGAATCCTGTCTCTGCCCTTGGAGAGGTAAGTCTACCACCCATACTGTTTGCTCAAGGACCTGGGAGCCAGCCCTCTGAAATGCAGGTGCTCAGAACAACTCCTGCTGTCTCCCAGTCCCTGCGAACGAGAACTGCCAAGGTTCAGGGGCACCTTGCTTCGACTCACAGCACTGCTCCTGACACACACAGGAGAGGCTTCCTGCTCCCCCAGGTAAGAACCGCTTCACAGACCCGGGCCTCGTCGACGGACGGGCCCCTGCGCGGCAGCCCTGAGATGGCGCCAGCCTTTCGTTTCAGGCTCTGAGTTAAGCCTGAAACTGCTTCAATTAGCGTCCAGCTTTGTTTCTCTTCGACAGAAGGGAAAGCCCTTGCTAACTTGGAGAGGTCAATTTTACCTCAAGGGGCAGCAAGCTCCTCTGAATCGTTCTAATTAGGTGACTAAGAGCCTGCGTGGGGATTTGTGGAGCAACTGTGAGCACCAAGCCCGAGGGGAGAAGCTGCAGAGCCCCAGGTCTCACTCCCCTTACTCCTGAGTTCCTCCCCTTCCCAGGCCTCAGTTTCCCCATCTGCAGATATAATTCTCTCTACCGGCCCTCCCAGCACCTACATTTCAGGGTTCTTGGGCTGGAGATAATCAGAGAGTTTGGGAGAGGGGTCCCCAGGCCTCCACCACCCAGGTGTCAATTGAGCCATCCCAGAGAAGGTTTCCATGGAAATGTCAACTTGTGCACAGGGGGCAGCTGCCTTGAACCCAGACGGGGTCAGGAGGAAAAGATCCTGCGACCAGAGATGGGAGGCTGATGGGATGGGAGCCGAGGCGAGTCTGAGAGGCCCAGCCGTGCTCACCGTTGGGAGAATCCAGCCAAACTCTTGCTGGTTGATCCCGATGATGTATGGAACGGAGTTGAATTGCTTCTCTGCCATCATCTCTTCCGGCATCTTCGTCAGCAGCACCCCATCAACCACAGAGGACACGAAGGGATGGTTCTGGGTAAGAGGACAGAAGAGTGTCTGTGCGGCCCGTCTCCAGGTCACACCGTGCCCGCCTCTCAGCCCGCCTGGGCAGGGCCAGCACAGACACCCGGGTGCCTGTGGGCAGCGACCACAGAGCTCAGGGTCCTAACAAAGGGGCTAAGTCTGTGACCCCAGAGGGCAGAACTAGTCCCCGAGGGATTAGCATGGGCAGGTGATGGGGGGAAATCTCCCTCAAATTGAAATATATAAAAATATTATGTTATTATTTTTATTTCATATAAAAAATTCAGTGTGAAGTGTACATATATCTACATGTATCTTTCTCTCGCTATAGTCAATTCTCATTCTTCACAGTGGTTACGTTCTGTAGAGTCACCGTGGACTCGGAATTAGTGAACACTGAGCCACTGCTCCCAGGGGAAATACAGGGTTAGGTTCCTGCAAGCCTCTGGTCACAAATCTGGATTTGAAACCTGGCTCTGCCACTTCCTAGCAGATCACTTGGGAAAGTAATTTCACCTGTGCGTGCTACAGTTTCCTCATCTAGAAAATGGGTTGTTGTGGGGATTAAATGACTGACCATGTGGAAATGCTCAGCACAGTACCTGGTACGTTGAAAGGGCTTGGCAAGCATTAGGTAGACTCATGAGCAGTGTCATTACAGATCCTGCTTGAGGACACCAGTCCCGCCTGCTGCACTTCCCTCCCTGATGGAAGGTGGGCCTGGGCCATGCCTAGGCTCTGAGACCCTGCAGTTCTCAGGGCCTATGTCTGCTCTTCGAAGGCTGAGGAATGAGCGGCCAGTTCTGGCTGCCTGCAGTTCTGTCACGAGAACCTGACCCAGCAGGACAGGGCCCAGATCCTAACCCAATATGACTGTCCGCTGAGAAGGACATGGGAGCCACCGCTGCTCTGACAGGCTGCTGCGCAAGCCAACAAGCAGAGCAGCTCTTTCTGGAAGGAAGACACAGGGCAGGCCACGTGGAAACTGGACTTTTGTGGCAGGCTCTGGGGAACGAGCAGCACCAGCAGGCGAAGAAAGAAAGACGTGGGAATTTCCAAAGAGGGGGAGCCGCAGGAGCGACGGGATGCCAGGAACTCAAACCCCTAGAGTCCTGGACTTGGAGGGATGCTGCAGGGCAGACTGGAGAGAGGTCAGGGGGGGCAGTCTGTTTCCGCACAATGCCTGGTGCATAGCAGGCACTCGGATGTGTTTTGAAGGAATAACTCCATGGAGACAAGGAGATTTGTGCTGTAAAAAGGGGGTGACGTGCCCTGACCTGCAGCATCAGGCATGGCAGCAGGGAGGCGGGGAAGGAAAGTAGAGGTGAAGGGAATGAAAGTCCAGGAGAGACAAGAGCCTCATCTGATCTGGGTGGCACAGGGCCCTCCCAGCTGGTATCCCTGCGCCTTTCTGTCCTTTCTCTACCGTCTATTTCAACTTGGCAGCCAAAGATCCCCTTTGTTAAACCTAAGGTCGTAACTCCTCTGCTCAAAAACCCCAAGATGTTCCATCTCGCTTGGAATCAAAATCCAATTCCTTTAAGCGACCCCTTCGCCTCCATTCCATTTAGCCTCAGCCCGTTCCCTCCCCTCACTCCCTCGACTCCAGCCACACTGGCCTCCTGCCTCCGGGCCTTTGCAGCTGCTATTTCCTCTGCCTCCACTTTTCCTGACAGCTGGCCCACCCCTCCCCTGGAACTTGGCTCTCACGTCACCTTCGCATGGAGTCATTCCCAGATCCCACTATGTAAGCTCAAACCACTGGCAAACTCTATCTCCATTTCCCACTGTCTTTTCCCTGTAGCGCCGGCCATCATCAGACTCGCTACATATTTAATTTGTTGATGGTGCTCTCTCCCGGCTCCAAGAGGGCAGGGGCTTGTGTCTGCTTTGCCTGTTTTGCTGTACATTCCAGCTCAAAACCCAGGCCCTGGCACATAGTAAGTGCTAATGAAATCTTTGCCGAATGACTGGATAAATTTCACTTGATCCTCAAGACAGCTTCTAAGATAAGTGCTCCTATCCCGAGAGAAAGCAGAGGGCGGGACTGTAAGATGTTACCTCCCTTTGGAAGGTGGGAGGAGTGGGCGAAGGAGGTGGGGGGGATACTGTTGGAGTTTCCTGCATGGCTGGGAGGAGGGCGGTGTCCTCGGGACTGAGATTCCTGGCTCCCTTCCTGGTGGCCCTGCAAACAGTGCAGCCCATATGGCTAATCAACCTGCAGCCTCGCAGAAGACCTGGGCTCCTCAGTGCAGGCTCCTGAAGAACCTTCATCCAGTTACTTCCACCTCCCGTGGTGGGAGTTTCTAGTCCAGCCTTCTCCCACTGGGGCATTTTGGGGAGCAGGAAATGAAACCAAGAAAGGGTGTAGGCTGGGCTCAGGGCACACAGAGTTAATGACTAAGAGCACTGGACTGGGAGTCATGGGAAGGGGTTCCAGTCCCACATCTGGTCCTCCTAGCTGTGTTACCCAGGCAAGTCACTGCCCCTCTCTGGGCTTCAGAAATATAAACACAAGGAGTTACTGTGAGTCCACAGGGAGAATTCTTTTATTCATCTTTAACTGGAGCTTAACGGTGTCAAGATTTAAAACCTGTAATCAAGAAACCAAAGGTCCTTACCTCTTTGGGATCTCCATGAAAATCCATACTGAAAAAATTCTGTGAAAACAAAGGCAGAGGGTGTGGGTGAGGAGGCTTCATGGGAGAAAGGCTGGTCTTTGTCAGCTGTGCACCGAAGGTACCAGGTTCTCCCTCCCAGTGCCACCCGGACTGGGCAAAGAGGAAGTGGGCAGGACACTGGCTCCCCTGGGCATGAGCACAAGGGTCTAGGAGGGGGGAGCTCTGGAGAGGATGTCTGTTGTTTGTGCCTGCTCTGCCCTCCATCTATTCCTCTTCTTGTTCCCTAGGCAACAACACACCCCAATTTTCCTTTAGGGGACTCCCTCAACTTCATTGTGTGAGCCCAGGCATCTCTATAACACCTGGGGTGCCCCATCTTCCTGACCACAGAGATTGGTTCATGGGTGGGCATGGTGCCCGCGTCAGGCTAGTATAACTCTTGCTAGAGTTATTAGGAAAGGGATTTCTAGGCAGATAGTGCTGGGGGTGGAGATGTTGATCATGCTCAATTGACTGTGGTTGTGAAAGGGGGGAGGGCACCTAATAGGGATCGGACCATAGATGTTCAATAATTCTCCACCTTACTAACAACTATAGATAAGAGGTTGTCTTGCAAACCCTGGGAAACTGGAGGGTGTGCTGCAAGAAGAAAAACAGAGGCTGTAAAAAGGTAAGACACACCTTGGGGCCTGGGTGGGTCCATTGCTTAGAAAAGAAAATGCATTTTGAGAACAAAGGACAGGCTGTGCTTTGACTTGGCTGCTGTGCCTGAAGCCTGACCTGCCTCAGGGAGTTTGCCTCAGGAATGCTGACCTTTCTCAGGTCCCAGGAACTGTTGGAACTGGTTTTTTGTTTGCTTGTTTGTTTTGTTTTTTCAGGGAAATTTCTTTTCACTTCAATCACTGAAGTAACAAAACCAAAACAGAAAAGCATATTATTTCTCAAGACTAATGGGAGTAATTTAATGAGAAGAAAAAAGTTGACAGTCCTTTTGTCAAACACATAATATCATAAAAAAATAGCACTCGTAATCACTACCTCTTATTATCTGCCGCAAACCAGGCACTGTTCTAGGTACCTGACTCATTGCCATGCCTAACAGCCCACTGAAGTCCTCTTATCCCCATTTTACAAATGAAGAAACTGAGTCTCATACACTACTTAAAGGGCTGACATGAATTTAATCCCTAGCTAACTCCATGGCCCATGTGCTTCATTATGTTACACACTCCCCTGAAATATTTGTCTTTGAAAGTTCACAGAAAACACAAAATCATATATTTTGCAAAACAGAAAGCAAATTTCTCCAAAAAAGGAGCGCAAGGCTTATAGTCAAATGTTATTTTCTTAAATAATGCTATATATAATTCTTTCAATAATGTTGCTATTCATTAAAATACTTTGGGAATCTGGTTCTAAAATTGTTGCCTGTAAATCCTGCAGCACCTTTTCTTTGACTATTTTTGCTGATCAAAAATCTTTGTCCATTAGAAATGGGCTTCACTTAGAAGTAACCTGAAAGCATTTGGAACTTCTGTTTCATGCATAAAGCGAGTGATAAAAGCAGTTAATATAATATTTGCTCAAAAATGTTTCCAGCAATCTCTTGGTGACATCATCATCGTAGTGAAGTCAGCTGCGGCCCTCAATCCATTGGCTTCGTTTTATAAGAAATCTCTCAGAGACATCATGATTTCTCCATCATAATACATTTGAGAAGTTTACCTAATAATATGAATTTTCCATGAATAATGTCATTGATATCACAGAAATAAATCTTCATTCATCTCAGATGGAACTGGGTTTTAACACCATTGAAAATTAACTACCTTGTTATTGAATTTCAAGATCCTGGAAGGAGACACAGGAACCACAGACCCTGCAACCATCCCCCTTCTTTCCCCCTTACATGTAGCCTTTCTTCCTCACCCCTATACAATTAACCAGCTAGGAAGGAGAGAGAGAACAGATTTTATGTGGGCAAATCCTCCTGCTCTCTCAATTTGTTGGCATTATTGAAATAAAAGCTCATATGATTCAACCCTCTCTCTGCTTAATTGGCTCAAGTGGTGACAGGCAGTCCGACCATTGTGTCCAGTTTCAATAGAATGTATGTCTAGAGTGCTTTTGTTGCCTTTAATCTCCCCAGGGGACAAACCTGCCTGAGAGTAAAACCAACACTGAGAGGTAAAAAATTGAGGGGTAGAGACAGATTCTAAATAACATATGTGTATCTGGATCTAGCCATGCCTGAAGCCAGCTACTCCTGAACTTCTCAGTTATCTGAAGATTTTGTTACAATACATTATTTTTTCTGCTCAAGACACTTTGCAAAGAGTTTTCTCATCTTGCATCAGGAAGTCCTCACTCACATAACCTCGCTGAAATTCACCCCACCCCATGCTTCACTTTGTGTACGCTCACCAATATTGCACTGGTTTAATGCTACGCTGCAGCTAACAGGTCTGACTTGCAGGCAGAAACTAACTAGTAGGGTCCCTTCATTATGAGTTGTAGCTCTACTGGCCAGGCCAGGTGTTTATGGTGTGTGTGTGTGTGTGTGTGTGTGTGTGTGTGTGTGTGTTGGGAGAGTGGATAAATATGGAAAGACTTCCACATTATCGCAGAAAATCTCAGAAGGGTAATATGGGCTCTTAGGTTCTCTGGGTTTTGCAAAAGTCACCAGTTCTCCCCCTTACAATCTTACAAACTGGGTCCTCTTGTGCCACATGGAATAATTGTGCCTCTTTCCAGGCATCAGAAAACAGCTGTGTTTTAATTCTTTAAATAAAACACCTTACTTGAGCCTGAGAAACCAGTATCCAAGCCCTAAGGCCACCCTAGGTTCAACCCATGGAAACAGAACAGAGTTCAGTGTGAGAGGCCAGCCCCCGGGTGCCCAGGAATGTATTCAATAGCCCAGGGTTCAGACAGGATGTCTAGAAACTCAGGCTACTTTGGGGCTCACATTCATACCCTCCCCACAAAAAAGGGAATTATTCCCATTGGCCTTAGGTGCTGTATTCTCTTGGTGTCTATCCTACTGTAGCTTCCCTGTAATGACCCATGCCATAGCCATGCAACAGTCCTCAAATGTCACCTTCTCTGTGAGGCATCCCTGCTGACCATAACGAATGATCCTCTTCTCTGTACTTCCACCATACTAGTGGGTGGATGGATGGATGGATGGATGGATGGATGGATGGATGGATGGATGGATGGATGGATATATGGATGGATGGATGGATGGATGGATGGATGGATGGATGGATGGATGGATGGATTTGGTCAATACATGGAGTATGGATGTATTGGATGGTTGAGTAATAACTGGCATATATGTGATAAATGGGTCGCTGACTTTAAAAGGATGAATGGTGGAGTGAAGATACATCGTAGCTGGATGGTTCGTGAATGATTGATAATAGATTAATAAAAGTTATGGATAGATTGATAGTAGAATGATAAAATAATATTGATGAATTGTATATATTTGTGGGTGGACAGATAGATAATAAGATGACAAATGGATGGATGGATGGTTGGATGGATGGATGGATGGATGGATGGATGGATGGATGGATGGATAAATGGATGGTTGGATGGATGAATGGATGGATAGATGGTTACCCTAGAATCACAACTAAGGCAAGGTCTCAGAAAATCTAGAAAATTGGGCCACCACTGGGTTATAATTGATCATTTCTAAATTAACCAAGATGAATTTTGAAAACCTTTCTGAGAATCTTTGTTCTGAATATCCCCATTCCCCAAACGCTGGATGGTAGTTACCCCTGGGAGTAAACAATATCTAATTTCTTCAAAATATCTTTGAAAACAAGAATGACAAAAGAGTAAATTTTGACAGAGCTGGGGAATTATTACACTATTGATTATTATGTTAGTTTTAGACTTTGCTAACATTTTTAGATATTTCATAACATAAAAGAAAAAAAGAAATTCCCCATTCAGATTCAGGGGTGACATTACTCCTGAGAGTCAAGATGCTGTCCCAGGCGGTTTTTCTTGGGGTAAGGGGGCAGCTGGAATGATGAAGCCTGGGGCCATGTTTACAGGGCCAGGGGAGAATGGATACACTTACCATTTTCTCTGACGCCTCCAAGAGCTCATCCTCTGACTTCTGACGTAGGCAGTCCACCATGACCGCTGATGTGGTGGTTTTACACCCAGCAAAGGTAGCAATTTTCTGCAGTGATCACAGGCAACAGCAGAATTCAAGAGCCTTGTTCCTTTTGTCAATCAGTAGGAAGTGTTCTATCCCAACCTCAATTTCTAAAGGCAGTAGGGGGTAGGGGAAAATTCTCTAGACCAGCAGGTATGGGTCCTGGGTCTCAGTCAGGCCAATTATACAACCTCTGTCTCAGTTACCTTATCTCTCATAAAATGGGCAAAATGATCCCGAAACTGAATGTCTAAAGGAGAGCAGCATGGAGTGGGCTTAAGAGCACGGAACCCAGAATCCCACTGTCCGGTTTCAAATCTTGGCTCATCCTCTTACTAGCATTTGGCCTCTACCAAATATTGGAAAGTGTGGCCAGAGGAGAAGTTGAAATAGAAGAAGGCAGGCTCCACGATGGCAGGGCCATGGAGAGTGTACATTAAAGGGGTTGAGGGAAGCACACAAGAGCAAGAATAAAAGTCTTAAATTCCCTTCATTTGCCAATTTCTAGTTCCTGTTTAATAGTGAAATCTAGCCCCATCTCTGCCACCTGTTTCCTTTAAATAAATTCCCTCTTTCCCGACTTAAGCCTGGTCAAGCGGACTTTCTGTTGTTTACAGCCAGAGTTCTGGAAAACATTCTCAAAATTCTTCGTGTCTTCATTTCCTCCCCTCCTACTTACCAGCCCTTTTAAATCTGGCTCCTGCCACCTCCCCCCCCC